AAGCCAAAGGTCCTCGAAGGAGACTCAGTTGCAATCAGGAAGCACTAGGGTCATTGTGGGGAAGGAAATACAAACCAACCACATGTGGCCAAGGGGCCGTTTCCTTTCTTTGAGCAAGAATCCCCCCTTTGCAAACACAGAAAGGGGCTGTTTTCAGAAACCAGAAAAGAACAAAATGAATTCTTCCCCTGCCTCGTCTCATGCAGGCTCTGAGGGTGTGCCTCTGTCCATGTGCATGCATATCCGTGTGTGTGGGTGTGCCTGTCCATATGTGCACGCATACCCATGTGTGTGCACACATGTGCAATGGATGTGCCTATGTCCGTGTGCACATGCATATCCGTGTGCACATATGTGTGCCCATGTTTTTGTGTGTACATGTGTGTATCAGTGTGCACGTGTGTGAGAAGCAGTGACTCTGAGTCTCTGCTCTGTCCATTTTCTCTTCACCCCTTCCAGCAACCCTGTAGGTGACCTACTTACCACCACCTCCCTTCTCTGCTGAGGATGTTCCAGAACCTACCATGGTCCCCCCACGCCCTCTGGGTCTATAGGCAGATGCCTTGGGCCACACACCCTACAGCCCCTCCTACGAAGTAGGCTCTGTTCTTGGCCCCGGGGCAGGTGGGAGAGGCAGGTCTGGAGGATGGTCTGCACTCGCCAGCACCTCCTCCAAGCCTGTGTTCCTGACCTCCCACGACAGAGACCCTTGGTTACATTAGCCCTCAGGAGGCAAAGGGTCTGGGCCCCCAAAGCTCCGGTTCAAGAAGAGTTCAAGCAGCTGGCACCCCACACAGCCACACACGCCCCGTCCCACAACCCACACTGCCACACACACCCACACTTAAATTGCAGCCACCCACAGGAGCACAATAATCCAGTTAAAGATTAGTTTTCAACTAACCCAATTTTGTCTTTAAAATGCCGTGAGATAAAGAAAGAGACAACTGATCTTTACTTTGGCATTTCATGACATTTGCTGCCTCAGATGAGCACAAGCTGAAATGCACACCTGAAGAGGGCATTAACCCATGGAGGGCCACTCGCTCTGCGGGGTCCATCCTGACAGACGTAAAGCCCACGGCCCAGGTCTGTGACCCATGGGCAGGACACGCCTGAAAGTGTGGGTGAGAGGGCACCAGGGAGCCAGGACAGCCGTGGGCTTGCCCAAAAGCAGGCTGGACCTCCAGGTGCCAGCTGAGAGCAGTCACCCAGGATATCCAGGGCACTCCTGCGAGCCGGGCCATGTCCCTTCATCTCCACCTGCACCAGGCTAGGTGCAGGATGGGAGGTGTGAACTTTGTGTCAGTGTATGTATGTATGTAAATGCGTACACTCGTGTGTTTGTATGTATGTAGACATGTGCACAGACACATGTACGTGTGATGATGGGCACATGCATGTGTAGATGTATTTTATGTGTGTGCATATGTAGCCTGTGTTTCGATGCTATACATGCATGTGGATCATGTGTTTTTTTACACAAGTGTACATCTTGTGTGCATGCACATATGTAGGTTATATGGGCAGTTTTATACACATGTATATGTGAAGTATGTATTTTATGTGTATATACATACATAGGTGTACATATGCGTATTAATATATATGAAAACGTGTAGACAAATGTAATCTCAAGTCATGCTTTAACCCACACAGAATATAATGAGAACATGTTCTCACATCAGGAACTATCATCTGAAGATATGGCTTTTGATAATTATAAATGTCCCAGCCAGCATGTCCCCTACTCTAGGAAACTGATCTCCTAACATGGGCTATCTAGGCGGCTGACAATTACAAACCAGGGAATGACCAGAGCACAGGTAAGGCTCCTGACACAATTAGCATCGTGCCACGCCCACAGGGAGAAGGGGCTGCATCGTGCCACGCCCACAGGGAGGGAGGGGCTGCATCGTGCCACGCCCACAGGGAGGAGGGGCTGCATCATGCCGCGCCCACAGGGAGGAGGGGCTGCATCGTGCCACGCCCACAGGGAGGGAGGGGCTGCATCGTGCCACGCCCACAGGGAGGAGGGGCTGCATCGTGCCACGCCCACCGGGAGGAGGGGCTGCATCGTGCCACGCCCACAGGGAGGAGGGGCTGCATCGTGCCACGCCCACAGGGAGGAGGGGCTGCATCATGCCGCGCCCACGGGGAGGAGGGGCTGCATCGTGCCGCGCCCACAGGGAGGAGGGCAGACCTATTTCCTGCAGACCTCACTGCACTGTCAGCATGNGGGGAGGAGGGGCTGCATCGTGCCACGCCCGCGGGGAGGAGGGGCTGCGTCTTGTTACGCCACAGGGAGGAGGGGCTGCATCGTGCCACGCCCACGGGGAGGAGGGCAGACCTATTTCCTGCAGACCTCACTGCACTGTCAGCATGACAGGCAGCGTCTGTTTCAATGTTCAGCTCCTGATTCCTGATGGGAAGATACATTCTCAGAAAGACACATTGACAGGAGGATACATTCTCGGGAAGACAGGTTCAAGGAAAGACACATTCACATTCACCAACAGTAACTGTTCTCATTGCCCTCGTGCATTCTCCACAAGGATGCTTTCTTTCTGTTACTTGTGTGAGTTCTCTGTTTGTAAGATTTCTTTCTGTTTTTCAGCTGCCTTCTAACTTTACCATGTTTCAGACACACATTTGCAGCTTTGGGCTGTGGTCACAATGTGTCACTCTGCAGGGTGCAGGCATTTTCCTGGTTGGGCACCTGGGGCTCCAGGTATTCTGGTCAAAAAGTAATCTAGATTCTTCTGACTGGATGGGGATGAGTGGGAGGGTGAGCTGTGGTGGGGAATTCTCAGGGAGACTGTCTCCCATTCCTGCTCCATGCACACCTAGGCCTCCAACAGCAGGACCACGCCCAGGCCGTCTGCTCTGGCTCACTAGCCTTATGCAAAGAACTTCTCACTCCACCTGCCCCTGCCCAGAATTTCCTCTCCACCCTGTGCCAGGCCATCAGCACCAGTCCCAGTGGGACATGTTCAAGTCAGCCCTCAAACACTTGTTTGACCATATGTGCCTGAGGCGGGCCCTGAGGAGCCTCCTCTACAGCTTCTCTGGGCCCAAAATAACCCCACCCCCACTGAGGGCTGGGCCTGGTGGAGCGAGCCAGGCCCACTGCCAGGGAACATAAGACTGCACATAGGGGAGCTCCTGCCATCCCAGAGACCCCACAACACCTGGATAGAAAAGCCCAATGTAAGGCAGAATCCAGGCTGTGGGTGCTGAGGCTCAGACAGCAATGGCTGGCAGAGGCAGGGACAAGGGACGATCCCAGGGTGCAGTGCCTGCAGGGCCAGTGTCAGGACAGAGTGTGGCATCAGGGTCATCTGCAGGAGGGTGGGACGAGCCCTGGCTGGGGTCTGCAAGTGCTCCAGGGAAAGCACAAAGCTCCAGCAATGCTCAGGACAGGAGTGCATGTGGCTCCAAACGGCCCCTCCCTCCAGCAGGCCTCACAGATGCTCATGAAACTTGAGGCAACCAGGCCGTCAGCCTGAGGAAGTCTCAGAAAGCAAGGCCCAGGACACGGCAGCCCCCACCTGCCCTGCCTGCCCGCCCCCAGCACCTGCACGCAGGGCCACACTCACACCAGGAGGGCTGCCTTTCTCTGGGAAGACTTCCTCCTCCAAGAAGGATTCTGTTCCCATGGAAATGACTCAAGCACATTATTTCCCATGGGGCAAATTACAGTTCTGCAGAGACCGGGGCTCAGAGCCCTTTCCCTGAATGTTTCCTGCTGGAGACGGGCTCAGGTCTCAGCCACTCCGCTGTCTCCACGGAGGCAGAATCATTTTCCTAAAATGTCACAATTGCAAACACAATTCCCCGTGCTCACTGGGACGCCCGAGGTTCTTTATTTAATTTCTGTTTTATTGTTTCCTGTCCCATTTAGCTGAACCCTCCGGCACACACAGTGGCGTTCACACTTGCTCTCCTTCCTGCCTGCGCGACGGCAGAGCACGGGTTATCCGGCGTTTCGGGGAGAAGCGGTCTCGCGGCGCCCCCACCCCGGCCCTGCACAAGGCTTGCAGGCCCTGGGAGTTCTTGCCGTGGAGCCACTGGGCTGCACCTGTCCCCGGCCTGTCAACCTCAGTTAGGAGAGCAGGGCTGAGGCCGCCAGCATAGCACCCTAACCAGCTGCCCAAGTCACACCCAGTCAGGGCAGGTCTCGGCCAGACAGCAAACACACCATGTCTCCCACGGCCCTCGGGGACATACACGGAGCAAAGTACCACCACGCCCAGCAAGCTGCCCGAGCCACCGCGCGGTGACCCAAGGCCCACCTCCTGGCCTGTCCCCTCACCTGAGAGACGAGGGGCTCGAGGAGGCAGCATGGTGGAGAGGGCCCCGCCTGGCAGTGTGGAGCCCAGACCCTGGTCCCCATGGTCCCCAACTGCCGGTGTTCTCTTCAGGGCACCAGGGCGGCCCCACCCTCCCAGGGCACCGGGCAGGAGAACGGCCCACCCAGCACCTCGGGTAGCAGTGACCACACCCCACCGGGCATCAGGCCACCATACGCAGGCCCTGGGGGTGAGGCCAGGGCTGGGGACTTGGCCCACATGGAGCCCCAGGCGGGGCTCAGAGCCTGATGAATGGGTGCGAACGTGGCTCCCCAACTATGTGGCTAAGGAAACTGTGGCTCAGAGAGGCTGAGCAATGTGCCCCAAGTCATACAGCTGCAAGGGGCCAGGCACCAGGCCTAGCACTGTCCCTAACATGTCACAGCCGGCTGCCATCACTCTCAAGGACACACAGGGGCCGCTCGGGGAGGCGTCTCTGGGAGCCCGAGAAATGGCCACACCAACAAGGCTGCCCTGGGACACGGCCAGACCTGCCGCCACGGTGTGAGGGATTTCAAGCAGCAAGGGGCCGGGGTGACCGCAGGCACGAGGCTCACAGCCCTTCCACAGACACCAGTGCGAGCCAGGGTGAATGAGGCTGCTCCACAGAGAACCAAGCTGGGAATCTTTTGAAAGGCATTTACTTACCTGAAAATCTCTTTCTTCTAGTATTTCTTTCCTCCATCTCAGGAGAAAAGCAGCACAGACGTACAAGTGGAAGTGAGAAAAGCCCTCGGGCTCAGACTGCAAGAGAGAAGGCAGGAGAAGGGTTAGTGTGCGGGGCAGGCAGCCGGCGCAGCCCAGGACCTCGGGTGCTGTCGGGGCTCCAAGGGGACCAGAGCCGGTGGGACCGACCGCTTCTCCCAAAGGCCAGAACTTCCACATTCTCCTCTCATCAAAATAAGTACGACTTTCTAATTAAGTACCGGCCACCTGGTAAACAGGACGTGACTAGCAGACCAGGGGTTAGGCAAGTTCAAATCCAGCGTCCCTGTCTCCCCCTGCACAGGTGACAGCAGCAGTAACAGGGCAGGTCCCGAGGGCAGGGAGCCCCCTGACACAGGCGGGGCCCACAGAGGCCCATCCCCTGCCCAGTGACGTCAGGCCGACGGCCCAGCCCAGCAAAGTCCGGGCTGTGTGCAGGCATCAGGCCGGCCGTTCCTCTGAAAACAGCCTGTCAAGGGTCAGGCTTCCGAGGATGGGGAGTCCTGGGGGTCAAGGAGGAGCACGGTTCCTACCACTGATACCACAGTGTAAAGCCGTAAATACCTCCAGTGAGGGGGACAAGTCACACTGAAGCCCAGACGCCCATGGGAATGACATTAGAAGTCCCTGACCCCGTCCCAGCTGCCCTGACAGAGGAAAGCCGCAGGTCCCGGCCCTGACCGCCTGCCGTGAGCCGTCCAGCACGCCAGGCAGCACCCGCGGGCGCCGCTCCAGAGGAGAGCTGCATGGGACCCCGCTCCCGGGACCCCGGCACCCCCCAGTCCAGGCAGAGCTGACGGAGGGACACCCAAGGGGTCAAACGCCACGGTAGGTGTGGAGCCCACCGTTTGTCTGCGGCAACAGACGGGGCAGGCGGACTGTCCAGTAAAAGGCATGGAGGCCAAAGGCTGTCCGTGGACAAAATGAAGTCAGAGCCAGAATTCAAGGTGGATCAGAAAAGTGAGTGCAAAAAAAGTAAAAAACCAAAAGCAAAAATTCTAAAAATCGATACACCCGACTACACGAAAATTTACAACGTTCATGTGTGATGAAGACGCCGTAGTTGAGGTGCTTATACAATCACAGGCCAGCGAAAGAATCTGCCGTGTGTACGTGACGGACAGCGGATCCGTGTCCAGAGTTCACACCCAGAGTTCAACCCCCCGAGAGTCAGCAAGAGACACCGGGCCAAGGGTCTGAACAGCCCGGGAGGTCAGGACAAGCAGGAAAAGCCGCTCCCTCGGGCTGGAGATCAGGGATGTGCAGAGAGAAATGAGCCAACGTGAGACCCGTTCGTGGTCCCGGGACTGGGAGGACCTGGGGCTCCGAGGACCAGCGGAGGAGAGGGTGTCGGCCGGAAGGGATCCTGCGGGCGCCGCGGGTGGAGGGCAGTCTGGGGACAGCCAGGCTCACGGCCCGCAGCCCGGACGTCTTTCTCGATCAGGGCATCTCCGACGCGGCGTAGAAGGCGATGCGCCAGGAATGCGAGATGGAGCACGGCCTGCAAATTCGGAGAGCTCGGGAACCCCTCGCAGGCCCTGACGGGAGGACGGGTCGGCGCCAGCAGTCCCACCACGGAAATCCAGAGCCTGAAGACAAGCACACGGCCACACAGCCACGTGAATACTAAAAACAGGGAAGCATGTGGCAACGGGCACTGGAGGCTGGTGCCGTTTATGAGAAGTTTCCGATCCTTCATCACGATGCTGTGTTGCTTCCGGAAACAGCCCGTGTGGCACAGGCGCAGCAGCGTGTCCAGGAGTGAGGCAGCCTCGCTGCAGGAAAGAGGACACTGCAGTGGCACGAGGAAAATTTAATCTCTAAGTAAGAAATGAAAGAGCTGAAGCAAAATGGGAAAGAAATGAAGACTCGACAGAGCTGGGTAGCAGCACACGGCAGTTCCTGAACCAGCGGTTCTGTGAACTTGAGGTTGTGCGTGATCGAAAGAGAGACTGGGACGAACCTGAATGGTCTTTCCGGAGTCAGCAAGGGATGTGTCCGTCTGGAGGGACCACGGTGCTGTGGCCCAGCCCCAGGTCCGCGCTCAGGCTCCGTGGCCCGAGGTGGCCCCACCCTTGGTTCTGACCTCGCGACCTTGGACGGCCCCTGCTCAGCGCTGTCTCGGGTCCGGGCACCAGCTGAGGCAGCCCCCAGCCGGGCCCCGCCCGCCTTCCTTGGGACCCTCCCTTCAAGACGGGGCCCGCGCTGCCCCCGGCCCTGGTTTTGGGGAAGCTCAAGGATGGGCAACAGGACAGGCACTGCCCCTCCTCCCGCCTCTGCTCCAGCGACTGGTGGGCCGCAGAGGAAAAGCCAGACGCCCCGAACATTACGCGTTTTCTTAAAAGTGCACTTCAGGCTCCCCAGTGGAACGAGTTTTGCTTATAAAACAAAAATATTAAAGTCCAAAATGTCTACAGATTAACTAAAGGCAGATTACTCAGGCACGAGGTGCAGTTTTTAAAGCGCAGGAAATAAGGCAAAGAAGCAGTTTCCCTTCTGTTTCTTCTGGCGGAGAAAACGTAATAAAAGGAGCAGTTTTTCACCTTTAATGGCATCGTTAAGCTTCCCTTGTAATTTCTGGCGCTGAAATACAGCCCCCAGCCCCTGGTGGCGGGAATTTCTGTGTCTGCGCAGCTGTGTGGGTGCATTTTTCAGGCCGTTCACGTGACAGGTGTTGCTTCCCACCCTCTGCTCGGATCCAAGCGACCGCTTCCGCTGCGCCAGCAGATCTCGCTGCAGCTTCCTCTGAACATCCATCAACGGCCACCACGGCCACCACCGCCCGCCAGAAATGCAGAGGGCTGGTGTTCACACGCGCCCCGCGCCCCGGGTCTGGCCCGGCTGGTGACGGAGCCGTGAATCACGCTCGTGTGGGGCCCAGCCCTGGCGCATAAACGAGCCTGCGCCCGCCAGCACCTTGCAGTCACCGACCCGTTGTCTCCACGCCGGGCCCCATTACCGCCGGCCTGACACTTATTGGCATGTGTCTGTCCACGTCTGAGAACATTCCCGGTGGTTACATGACAAAGGTCACAGCCCGTCAAACTCCCCGAGTCATCAGCACCCACAGCGCTGAGCTGGGAGAGGGGGTGACCACGGGCTGCCCCCAGCTCTGGGGCTTGGGAAGTGGCCCTCATGTAGCAGCAACTCCTAACTGAAATGAACATTTTAAAGCCACGAATTACAAGAGAAAAACATAAAATAATAAAAAATACTGAAATACTTAGAAATTGCTGATACACGTATGACCGATGGGCGAGTGGGTCCGGTGCCGCCGGGCGCGTCCATCAGGAAGTCCCCCGCTGGCTGACGGTTTCTGAGCGCCGCCTCGGTGTGACCGCGCGATTCTCTCACTCCCTCCACACCCAGAGCTGCCTCTCCCCCTACGGAGTCACTTCCCTCAAATGCCTTTGATGGCCAGAAAGGCACGGCCCTTGCGGGGGTCTCTCCTCCTACTCACCAGCTGAGGCCCTCGCAGCCTTCAAAGGGAGCGGCGAGGGTGTACTTAGGAATCGCTGCGGAACCACGGACTTGAACACGTTTACGCTTCCATCCACCGCGCAACAGTCCTTCCCACGCTCAATGTTCCCATTGCCGGCCAGCGGGAGCCCCTTTCAGCTGGGCTCCGATGTGACCCCAGGACTCGGAGAGGCCCCTGGCTTTCTCTATGACTCGTGGGCCTCGACCTGGAACCCAAGGTCTCTCCAAGGAGCCCGGTTTCTCCCGTGGGAAGGGCTGTGGAGACTGCAGGGCATGGTTTCCAGCGGCCCGATCAGCGGCGGGGGCTACAAGATACACTTTTATCCCTTTTAAAGAGAAAGCCGGGTTCATACGGAGTCTTAATTCATACTTGAGATTACAGGGTTCTTACTTATTTGATTTTATGATTGATTCTCTCATGTTGAAAACCTTAGTTCCTATATTATCGTAATTACTTGATCCCCCTAATATATGTACTTATGGTAATACGTGTGTTTGGTACCTACGTGTGTCTATAAATAACAGCTTCGAGGCAGCACTGTTATTACCGACAGTCTGATGACTGAATAGGTTTTAAATGTCCTGGAACCTCTCTGTGCCTGGGGTGTGCCCACGAGGGCCGCTGTTTGATCGCTCACGTCTGCGTGAAGCCATTTTTCCCTGTGGGATTCTGGCGCCGACGCGACGTCGCTCGGCTCAGTTTTAATGCTAGTTTTGTTCTTGCTGTTGAAGGGCCGCTGGACAGCTCCTCGCTTGGGTCTGGTCCGGCCGTGCGGTTCCGCAAGGCAACGCTGGCCCCAGTGACAACTGAAGCAGAGTGCGAGCGGGCGCCGGGCCGCCCCCGCCCCTGCGGCCCCTCCGCGGCCAGGCCTCCGCCACCGGGCTCTGGTGTATTGTTTTGCTGATGTTTCTGTTTTGTTTGTAATATAAGCAAATACACGCGTGCTCAGGAAAAGGGGTGTGTGTGTGTGTACACGCACCCCTGTGTGTCTGCGTGTCTGTGTATGTAGGCGCACGCGTGCCTGTGCGTGTCTGTGTGCACGTCTGTATGTGGGTGGGTGTACGTGTCTGTGTCTGCGTGTGTCTGCGTGTCTCTGTGTGTACACGCACCCCTGTGTGTCTGCGTGTCTCTGTGTGTACACGCACGTTCACGCCCATCCTCTCCCGACCAACCAGTCAGGGTGTCTGCGTCTGGCCCCTCTGGGGAAACGCGGGGACGCACGACGGCACACAGCGCACCCGTCCCCCTGCGCCCTGCGCTGCGCCAGCCTGCGGCCCTCGCAGCGTTCCCCCAGCCCCGTGCGGGGGCACCCGCGGTGCGGCTACAAACAGGGCTGCAGCGAATACGCCATGGACACGGCGGACGCTGCTGCTCCAACACAGCTCCCGGCCCAGCAGGTGAAAGCACGAGCTCCCCCTGCGCCCGCCGCTCCTCACCCACCACCAGCGCCCACCTCCGGGCGGCGCCCAGGACAGTCGTGCCCGACGGCCCTCCGGGGCGGGAAGGCGCCGCCCGCACGACACTGTTGCACGTTCACCGTCAGAATGTAGCCACAAGG